GCGTTGGGCTGCATGTTATCAACCAGCAATCTACACCAACATGGAGAACAATAACTACGTAGAAAGTTGGCACAACCAGTTAAAGACCAAATACTTGAAACGCAAACGCTTACATCGTCTTAATGTCCTTCTTTAGGTTCTGTCTTCTGAAGTTGCATCTGATGTCCTTGGTGAGATCAAACGACTGGTTGTAAATGTTGGACGGATGGGCGCACATGAACACGCTCTACGTAAAGAAGAAAAGAAGGCAGAAATGGTGGACCGTGCAATATTACCACTGAAAGTGCAGGTGCGATCCACGACTGAATACACATGTGTTTCGTTTGTCAACAGCAACATCATCTACAACGTAAGTTGATACTCTATGTGTCCTCCTAACGTACATATCAGCTAGTCTTTCTCACTTACCTTTACACACGTGTATTCAAATAGATCACATCACACAATGGCCAACTTATCTCTTGTACATGTTTAAAGTTCACCAGATCATTGTTTCCTTATAAGCATATGTTTTTGGTTGAGCAGCACGTTCGAGCTGTCACTGTACGCCCTTCAATGACAAACCATCAACTTTGGTTAGAACAAGCCATTGCATCAACATCACATGCCCAACTGTCACAAGAATTGCATGAACCAACGCAAATGGATAAACTTGAGGATGCTATTACCAAGCAATTTCAACAAATTGCCACAACTAGACGTCTTGTTGGCAAGTCAATCGTTCGGAACGGGCAATGTGACAGAATCAATGACTTGATAGCCCATATCAACAACCAAACAATGGATGCTTTCGAAACCCATAACCATTTGATCAATGCCCTTTCCATCCCACCAAATTCCAACTTCCGTCGCCAGAACAATCCTTAAGCTACCTTCTCTTTTCATTTCATTTTTATTTCTATACACATATCATTATAAATTATCAGTAAGAATTATAAAGTATCAAAAACCGCAACTTCTATTTGTACTTACAATAACAGTGCATGAACGAAAGATCCAACAAGCTTCCCTTCTATCCTGTTACTTGAATGATAGACTTACACTGCATGTTCTTGGTGCCTCCATAATAAGAGCGGTAATAACACAATATGCATTACAGAACATAATAGTTGAAAGGTTCCTAAGTATCCACTCTGTCCAAACCTACTATTGCATCCCATAGTGTGTTGTATGATGCCGTAATACATGCCTATCGATAGTGATAGATTGGAAAAGATAGTATAGAAAAACAGCAGCATAAAAAAGAGGAGTGGTAATGATTGATTAGCATTTGTACACACCATTCATTAAGAATAAAGCCATAACCATCTTCCAACACGCATCCATTATTCTCCTCTGCTTTTACCTTGACCACCAGAGTAGTACCGATCACTTCAGGTAGGCAATCAAGAAGAAGCTCATGTAAAATAAGAAGAGGCAACATAATACAGAAGAAGAGCGGCGACATTAGTCACTTATGCAGACTATCAATAATAAGAAAAACCCGCCACCTTACACCAGTACATACTCACAACTCGTCCTAACTCATACCTTTGACAAAGTCAATTCAGCAGTGGCGTTTAAATTATGGGGCGCTTTGTCTAGTTCGGCCAATGGTCATTGTGAATGTTTTATACAATGGTGTGTGTGAGTGCGAAGAGAAGAAACACGTGCTGATTATATATTAAACGCGTGTCAACTGGCAATAGCTCTAGTGAGTCCTAGTATGTTCAGTGTTTGCAAGCACGATGCCGTTACATTGTTGACAGATGCGATTGCGAGACAAGTGTGCCATTCCAAGTCATCGTGTGTGTCTGAAGAAGAGAAAAGAGAAGAAAAAGTGAGATGCTTTCTTTATGGCAGTGCGTCACACACAAACACACACACGCTCACTCATTTCCTCACAGATCCACAAATTAACAATCTCACTTGTACTTCCCTCCATCTATCATATTAACGCAGCAGAATCAGCTATAACCTGAATGGTTTTTACAATGGCGCCTGTTGGAAATGAAGCTGCACGGTTTTTGATGAAGACCATATGTCTAAAGATAAAAGAAGTTGTTAGCTGCCATAAGCTGAAATACTATTATTCTAATAGTCTATTCACCCTCATATTTGTCTGATTTCTTTTCCCCCTCATTCTCTCTTCATTTTATTATAAATGATCCTCCTGCACTGATTCCTTTTAGTTTACTTGCCTTCTTATGTGATACATATGCTCAACCACGCCTAAAAAATAGAAGAACGGCCTTGTACCTTTTTCAATTTACTGAGTGCTGTAGTAACTACATTAACCACTGACTTTGAAATATGCAATTTAGGGGGGGCGGGAGGCTGCCTGCCCCAAGTTATACTTGGGGCAGAATAAGTATTTTGTAGGGTGACTGGCTTGGCTCGATCCATCCTTTGGAGATTAACTCGTCAAGTTGCTTCTTGAGTTTATCCAATTCGTGACTAGAGAGCTGGTAAAGCTTCTGTGCTGGGATCTTAGCATCAGGCTCTATTGGAATCAATATCCTTATTCTGCCTCAAAAATAAGAGTTGGGTTGGCCCTTCCAGTTTTCAATTTTTTTTGAAAGTCAGCAGGAGACGCATTGACGCGTCAGTAGTGGGAGGACTTAGGAGAAAAAAAATTAAAGTAGGCTCCAAACATTCTTTTTTTCATTATACAGAAAACGAGCGTAATTCAGCATTGAAGTAAGCAGAGTTTTGGCTAGAGCAAAGGAAAGAATGTACGGTCATTTCAGAAAGTAAAGTCGCTGATTTTGAATTTGAAGTCGTGCAAAAAAAATTGTGTTCAATAATGATGTCGATTGATCCAAAAATAAAGTCTTGCTCACGTGTCACGAACTCCGTTTATTTTTAATTGACGCTTAGTAATTATCCAATAAAATTCTTGGCATTAAATTGTTATAAAAAAGGGGTTACGATTTTCTGTGTCCATTTTACTTTCTTTTTTCTATTTACGATTTATTTTACAGATATTGAAGTTGAGTATGCAATTTTTTTATGAAGATGGATAAGGGCATGTTGTTGATGAACATGGCGTTGAGCCGATGGATCTTGTTGTTGATGAGGAGTTGTATGCTATTGAGACAATAAGTTCCCGTACTCAATTCTTAATGAATAAACCTCCAGAAAGACCATCTAATCCCGTTATACTTCCAGTTGCGGATGAAAGAAACTATGATGTTGATATGGAGTTATGCAATAAGCGACGCTATACGGTTTACTCTGATGAAGACAAGACTAGATATTTTCATTTATTTTTCAGCAAATGCTTGAATGCTTCTGCTGCTGCGAGACAACTGGGTATTGATATCCAGACAGCGCAGAGATGGGTAAAACGGTATTACGAAGACCCCAAAAGCATTTTCGAAAAAAAGAAAAAATCAGGGCGGCATCGTATTCTTGGGAATGAGCATAAGCAATTTCTTTTAAATTACATTGATGAGAATCCTTCTACCGTTGTCAATGAAGTGGTGGAAAGTTTGAAACAAAACTATGAGGATCTCAACGTTTCTCGTAGTACTGTTTATAACTTCATAACAACTCAGTGTAATCTATCTATTAAGCAAGCACAGTTTCATCCTATGGAAAGGAACAGTAAGGAAAAGATTCAGCAAAGATACGACTGGGTTCAAAAGTGGCAGCAAACTGACCTGGATTTCACAACAAATTGTGTCTTTCTTGATGAATCGGCCTTTCACATTAATTTGAAACGTGGTATGGCTTGGTCAAAGAAAGGCACTCCTGCAGTAGTTACAGTGCCAATGACTAAAGCAAAAGCAACTTCTATTTTAGGTGCAATTTCTGCCACAGGTTTAATTAATGTTAGTTTGCGAGTTCTGAAGCGTATCAAGAAGAGAAAGCTCGGGTGTGAGATTGATGGTTATAGCATAGGAACAGTGACAGGTCATTACTTGAGCTTCTTAAAAGCTACTCTTAATGAAATGGACAAGTATCCAGAAATGAAGGGACATTATCTTGTCATAGATAATGCTCCTATTCATAGCTCAACTGACATAGGAAAGTATATTCACTCTCGAGGATATCGATATGCATATCTTCCTCCATATTCCCCTGAACTGAATCCAATTGAGCAGTTTTGGTCAGTCGTCAAAAGTAAAGTTAAACGAAACAAGTTTTTGGAAAAAGAATCGCTCATGACTAGGATCAGTGAGGCATGTGATAGCTTAAATTTTAGTGATTTCAAAGGCTTCGTTTCTCATTCTGCTAAATGCTTTGATAAATGCCTTGCCAAAGAAAAATTATAAAAACGGGCACAGATGGGTAGACTGATGGGTAGACTGATGGGTAGACTGATGGGTAGACTGGTGGGTAGACTGATGGGTAGACTGATGGGTAGACTGGTGGGTAGACTGGTGGGTAGACTGATGGGTAGACTGGTTGGTAGACTGATGGGTAGACTGGTGGGTAGACTGGTGGGTAGACTGGTGGGTAGACTGCTGGGTAGACTGATGGGTAGACTGGTGGGTAGACTGATGGGTAGACTGGTGGGTAGACTGATGGGTAGACTGATGGGTAGACTGGTGGGTAGACTGATGGGTAGACTGATGGGTAGACTGATGGGTAGACTGATGGGTAGACTGATGGGTAGACTGGTGGGTAGACTGGTGGGTAGACTGGTGGGTAGACTGATGGAGGTGTTTGCTATAGATTAGACCGGCAACGGCTCGAAAAGTAGTGGACCTTTTTATAGTAGCGTTTTTCGCTCCCTAGTAAAACTTTAAAACAAAGGAGTGAACTGACGGTCTTTGACTGAAAATTCTCAGTCTTGTCTTCGGACAGGACAGCCTTAATTTAAAGAGTTACCTGGTTGATCCTGTCAGTAGCCATACCCATCAGTTGACCCATCAGTCTATCCACCAGTCTACCCATCAGCTTAAGTTGCTTGGTTATAAGATAAAAAATAATAATAAAAAAAAATAGCCATAATTATTTGTTTTTATTTGCTTATTGACTAATTATGATGCTGTTTTAGAATGCAAGGTCGTTTATGATTTTGAGATGTAGAAAAAAAGTTGGTCGAAGATGGAGCTACTTATTGTTAGGCGATGTCGCTTGGGATGTGGACAATCAACAGATGGAATGCAAATTCGATCAAAGACGTCAAGTACAAGCAAAACGTCTGAAATATCGGTAACCAGCTTTGGTAAATCATTCAGGCAATCTGGAATCTTAATTTTGGCAAGTTCATGCATAATATATAGACCACTTGAAGGTAATACCAAGATATAAAAGGTGATTGTTCTACCAACGATCTGTAAACCCATAGTTCCCATCATTTTCTGCGTATCCAGGGCGTCTTTACAAAAAACTGAGACGCGTAAAAGATCTCGACAGACCGAGTAATGGTTAGAGCCTTGATGTGCTGGTTTTGCCTCCCCAAAACCAATGTTCGCTTTCCATTTGACGCCTTGTAATCTGGTGATGCAAATATCGGATCGCCAACTCAGCAAGCTTTGTTGCTTTTTCGCTTCTAATATGGTTTCGTTCGTCCATCGCAAAAAAACGCCTTCATCGGGTTCATCAAATATACCGCACAAGAATGGATCGACATACCGAGAGCAAAGTTCCATTTCATTTGACTCTTCTGCAAGGGATACACGAGGTAGTTTCTTGACCAGCTCTGCTATTGCTTTGGCAAACTTATATTCGTTTGTGGTAAGATCCAATCCGAATAATTTTATAGCAGCCTTTTCTCTTGTTGTCGCGGTAGATAAAAGGTCTTCGATGATCTTGATGATTTCCATGACTACGTTGGTAGGCATTCGTGGTTTCTTGATATCATAGATAGTATCAACACGGTCAATGGTAGCCTTTAGGTTGTGTTCATCGAAAAATGGCAGAAAATCTTCAGAATATTGATTTCTAGACAAGAATAGAATTGAGGTGGACGCCATGGCATATTGGATATGGTCCTCCAGAGAGAGTTTCCATTTATGAGCCAGTAAGGACTGTTGAAAGTTATAAAATGCATCGGTCGCATCAAAGTCACCAATCATGAGCCGGTCATCATCGCAAGGAGGTATGATTAATAGACATAAATGGTCCATTAATTCTGTGTCAACGTCATCGACGTCTACAATCTCATCCACACTTCGTTTTTTTGGTGAATGTGGTGAAACGTCATTGCTTTCTTGGTGTTGCGGTGCTGGCGGCATAGATTTGGGATGGTCATTGATAAGATGATCTTTTAAATCGTTTAAAAGTTTAAAATGAGCAGGACAAGACAGACAGCCAAAGTGCTTTTGAATATCTGGATGTTTGCCATCAGCTTTTACAAATGAATAATCGGGTGTGTCATGACATCTAACGCCAACAGGTCGTTCGGGAACATTGATTCCGTGCTTTTTGAAATGATGGCGTAATTTCTGTGGCGCTATATATGTTTTAGAGCATATAAAGCATGTGTTAGCAAGTTCAACCAATGGAGCTTTGAAAATCGATGGTTCGGCAGACATCACGTAAAACAAAACAAAGGGCTGATTTCAAAGAAAACAAAAAAAAAAGTGTCCTTTTTTTTTAGATGTAGGAGTTTAAACGCCTCTGCATTTCACACTGGGAAAAAAATCCAAATTTCCCTAAAAAACAAATTTCCAAGGTGATGCTGGTAAGTTGAATCATATTAACATGAATGAATGAGAGTGTTTCCAATGTTTAATATATGCTTCGCGTATATTTAGAAGAACGCATCGACGCTACGTTACCAGTAGTCAACATGCCGATATTATGATAATTAGTGATGAAGGAAACGAGGATTCGCTCCTAGGTTGTACAAAATGAAAATGCCAAGAATTTTATTGGATAATTACTAAGCGACATCTAACAATAAACGCACGCGAACACGACTCCATTACTGGACCAGTCGACATCATTGTTGGACACGAGAATTTTTTGCACGACTTCAAACTCAAAATCAACGACTTTACTTTCTGAAATGACTGTAGATCATGCATGACTAGGCAGGGGATGAAAACGGACAAGAAAAAAAAGGAATATAAGAGCGAGCTTTAATTTATTTCCCTTTGTCGTTCTAAATCTGCTAAACAGGCATCACAGTGGTGTGCTGTATACCAACGATTCGACATTGAACGGTTAAATGAACCACTTCACAAGATTAACAGCAGCCTAATTATTGGATGGTGTTCAAGATGTGACGACATTGTTAACACAGAGCAGTCAAAAAAAACAGTAGGTACAGTATTTCGGGTGTAATAACTTTTGTTTTTTCCCCTTGACTAATCTTGCGAATCAGTCTACAGAGATCGACAGCCAAGGGATGAACCAACATGAATATACTACTAACAGCTAACTACAGAGCTGTGCAAACAAAGAAAAACCAAACCAACGGTGTGCTGTCAGTGCCGGCCTTCCTGACACACTGCTTTTGCTTTGCTGATTTTGTTTTCGACGACGAAGTTTCAACAAGATTCATTAGTCAATGCTCAACAAATTGGAGAGGCTCGAACATTTCGATTCTCAATGGCTAGTCAGCAATCTGCAAAACGATCGACGATTACGGAAGTCCTGATGCTGACATTGTGGATAAAAGAAGGTAAGAAGTCAAAGCGGTTTTGCTACAGTATATTCTGCGTCTATGTTGGGATCGCGTTTTTTGGATAGAAACGCGCACACACAATATATACATGCACACACACGATATGCGCACGCACGATATATACACACACGCATATGATATACGCACACACAATATACGCAGACGCACAATATACGCAGACGCACTTAATATACACACACACAAAATACGCATAGCCAGAAGATGAAGCAGCTGCTGGATATGGCGACTACAATCAGTGATGCAATATACATATATGCTGTTTGGAGTGTTGGATACGACTGCGGGCAAGGGATTATGCTGGATTGATGTGTACTCCTTCTGCCAACGCTATGGAACGTCACTGTCATCAACGGAACGACCGATCTATCACTAAATGAAAGGAAGCATTTTAAATTCGTGTTGATTCATATTCGTCCTTACTTATGAAGCACCATCATGCTTTTTACAGCCATATATCAAATGATTGAGCGATCGCACGTGGAATAGGGCAGATCAGTCGACCTACCTATATACAATTATGAAAGGGGATAGTTAAATATTTTAGTGGCATACTGTGATCTATTACTATGTATACATATAGCGTGCTCTCAGCTGTAAGTGAGCGGATACGTGAAGATCGAAGTGTTCTGTAAAATTTTGGATTGTGGATAGAAAAGGTCAATAAATAATACTTTACACGAAATAGTGTACTAAAATAAGATTAGTAGAAAAAGACTATGCTACCGATATGAGGGATAGGAGTGTGCCATAGCATTTCGAAGCAGCTAAAACGTGTTTTTGTGTTACTCGAGCACTACTGCATATACTGTAGTTGCCTGACTTTGTATTTACTTTTGAGCCAATTCCTTTGACATTCGCCATTTCAAAATGAGCAATAATAACTTCAACAACAACAACAACAACACTAGCAACTATCACGACGATGAAGAGCTACTGAGCCCTGTTATTATTTCCGTCAGCCAACGCCCCAGTTCGTGCCCCGTTTCCAAGTACCAAGATATTATCTTACGTCAACCTGAAGAAACAGGCGAACGTTAGATATATAAGGGGGACTATAAAAGCGACCAGTTCAAAAAAATCATCTCCAGAAGAGAGTTCAGTGTCACTACGGAGAGCGAAGAGACTATGCAGCCGACAGTCGCTATCACGATTGACGATGGTAAGAAAAGAATAAAAAAGTATAGTGTCCAAGGCATCTACTTATATACAATAGAAGAAAACGAGGCTGGTAGTAGAAAAAGACAGAAATCCTCCACTGTATTTTGGTCAAAGCGGTATGAGTGCCATCGCCATGCCACCAGTGACAACAGACGTGGAATTACCGAGATCCGTCCTATCCAGCAACAAAGTAAGCAAGTCGGATGTAAGGCCCAACTCAAGGTCATATGTTACATGACCGACTGTGACACTGTAAAGTTCAAGTATGTCAATGACCATACTGGGCATACTCCTGGAACCATCGAAGATGTCAAATATTTGCCAAAGTCGATACTTTTAAAGGAGCGCATTATTGAGGAATTAAAAAGATACAAGAACGTCCGTCAGGTGCGCACTTACTTGCAGCGTGAGCATGCGCATCTTGAAAGCACCAAGAGAGACGCATATCTCCACACCATTGATGTTTATAACATCTTTTATAAATTTCGACAGGAGGAGTGTGCTAAAGATAAGGACGATTTTACTTCCGTCAAATGCTGGCTACAAGATCTCGAACATAAGGGCTATCATGTCTGGTTATATGCTGATGACACTGGCCGTCAATTGCTTTCCGCTGCCAGCTTTGGTTCCTGTTTTGTTGCTCCATGGCAGATGCATTTACTAGTGAATGCTGGGCAGCATATCTCTCTCGATGCAACACACGATGTATCTCAATATGAAGATGGCGTCCTGTATACTATGGTTATCCGCCATCCAATTGCTGGTCGTGGTGTCCCTGTCGCCTACCTTATTACTGATGACAAGTCATCCGATCCTCTTGTTAAATGGTTGACATACCTGCAATCTCTCGGTGTTAGTCCTCAAGGCATCACGATTGACCAGGATTATGCAGAGGATAATGCAATTACCATGGTGTGGCTAGACTGCAAGATCCAGCATTGCCTTTGGCATGTCATGCGTGTATGGATGAAGCATGTCCAAAAGAAAGTTACTGCTTACGGACGAAGCGACACTCATTAAGAACGAACGCGCATCAAGCTACGGTTACAAGAACTAATGTACGAAAGGGACATGGAAAAATTCCATCGCCTTTTACATACCTTCTTTTCCGAGTATGGCGAGAAGCAGCCATCATTTGCGTCTTATTTCCGAGCACATTGGGTAGATACATTCAATGGTGATAGATATACCCGCTGGAGTACATGCCACGAGCCTGAAGTGTTCACCAATATGGCCACAAATAATTACGTTGAATCCTGGCACAACCAGCTGAAGACTATCTATTTGCAACGGAAACGGGTCCATCGTCTCCACTACTTGATCTATGTCTTAACATCCGATGTTGCTTCTGATATTAGCAAAGAAGTCGAGCGTTTGTGGGCAGGTGTTGAGTGTATGAGCAAGACCGAGCATTCATTTCGGACAGATGAACTAGAAGCTGGCAATTACAGCGAAGCAGACTTACAACGCATGGTAAAAGTAGTGTCAGATATACACTATAAGGTTGCTTCCTTCGCCACCCGGAGAAAAGAGTATGACGTATGTATTGATTATCATTATACTTTTCTGGGTTTCCAGCGTTTTTCAAGCTATAATCTGATACTCCTATAATATGGGATAGGTGCTCATTGAGAACAGCAGAATCATTCATTGTGAATGCGAGAAGTTCAAAGATAGCAAGATGTGTTGCAAGCACCTGTTCCTACTGGAACGTTTTTTTGTTACAGTAAGAAAGGTTTCGACAATAAAAGTTCGCCCATCCTTAGAACATTAGCAAGGACTTATCAACACCTGCACACCAACATTAGCATCATCGAGCACACCTATCCAAGTATCACAGCACCAACAGTAAGTATCCGAACCTACACCAAAGGACGAATTGGAAGCTGAACTTAAAAAATTAAAGAAGAAGATCACAGCGATCGAACATCATGTTGGAAAATCGATGATCAACCATAGAGAAGCAGACACTATACGAAATACTGCACGACATGTACGAGAGATGATTCAACAGGCTAATGCCATAGATACCATCCTCAAAAATACACTTTCTCTCCCCAAAAACTCCAATTTCCGTCGTCAAAATAACCCTTGAATTCCGATCTTTATCCTTTCCTCTTTATATTCATTCTATGATCTATTCCCATTTCTAAATTAACTTACCAATTTCCACTCTATTCCTACTCTAGTAAATAATTCTTTGAGTACACTTGTGATTACTATCATTGGCTGAATCCCCGCATCCATGTGCGATTGCTTGAACATAAATTGCAGCAAATGTAAAGTTCGTGCTTCATTTCATTGAGTGACAGATCGGTCGTTCTGTTGATGACAGTGACGTTCCATAACGTTGGCAGAAGGAGTACACATCAATCCAGCATAATCCCTTGCCCGCAGTCGTATCCAACACTCCAAACAGCATATATGTATATTGCATCACTGATTACAGTCGCCATATCCAGCAGCTGCTTCATCTTCTGGCTATGCGTATTTTGTGTGTGTGTAAATTAAGTGCGTCTGCGTATATTGTGTGTGTGTGCGCATATCGTGTGTGTGTATATATCATATGCGTGCGTATATATATTGTGTGTGCGCATATCATATGCGTGCGTATATATATCGTGTGTGCACATATCGTGTGTGTGCATGTATATATCGTGTGTGCGCATTTCTATCTAAGAAACGCGATCCTAACATAGATGCAGAATATACTGTAGCAAAACCGCTTTGACTTCTTACCTTCTTTTATCCACAATGTCAGCATCAGGACTTCTGTAATCGTCGATCGTTTTGCAGATTGCTGACTAGCCATTAAGAATCGAAATATTCGAGCCTCTCTAATTTATTGAGCATTAACTAATGAATCTTGTTGACACTTCGTCGTCGAAAACAGAATCAGCAAAGCAAAAGCAGTGTGTCAGGAAGGCCGGCACTGACAGCACACCGTTGGTTTGGTTTTTCTTTGTTTGCACAGCTCTGTAGTTAGCTGTTAATAGTATATTCATGTTGGTTCATCCCTTGGCTGTCGATCTCTGTAGACTGATTCGCAAGATTAGTCAAGGGGAAAAAACAAAAGTTATTACACTGGGAATACTGTACCTACTGTTTTTTTTTGACTGCTCTGTGTTAACAATGTCGTCACATCTTGAACACCATCCGATAATTAGGCTGCTGTTAATCTTGTGAAGTGGTTCATCTAACCGTTCAATGTCGAATCGTTGGTATACAGCACATTACTGTAATGCCTGTTTAGCAGATTTAGAACGACAAAGGGAAATAAATTAAAGCTCGCTCTTATATTCCTTTTTTTTTCTTGTCCGTTTTCATCCCCTGTCTAGTCATGCATGATCTACATTCTTTCCTTTGCTCTAGCCAAAATCTCTGCTTACTTCAATGCTGAATTACGCTCGTTTTTTGTATAATGAAAAAAAGAATGTTTGGAGCCCACTTTAATTTTTTTTCTCCTACGTCCTCCCACTACTGACGCGTCAACACGTCTCCTGCTGACTTTCAAAAAAAATTGTAAACTGGGGGGCCCAACCCAACTCTTATTTTTGGGGCAGAATAAGGATATTATATTGGAATAGTATGATCCACGTGTCTTTGTGGTGGTAGTCCTGAGCGCAATTCCGCAGGGAACACATCAGTATATGAGTTGACTAGCTTGAGTAGAGCATTGGAGCTATGCATTTCAGCTCCTTGAGCCGCCTTCCTTGTATCCATTCCTTCATCCTTGCAATCTGTCAGTATAAGTGCATATAGTTCGAGTTCGTTTAGCTTGCCTTGTCCTTGCACGTGCTCTTGCTGACTTGCTTATAACTTGTTGACTATTGATTGATGAATCGAAACTTCCGCTACCAAGTGTTATAGACTAGGGCCTTGTCTATAGGGAATGTTTATCCACGTCAGTAAATGATTCAGGGAATTAAACTATAATAATTAAATATAAGGATAATCAATAGTTATCCTTATATTATTGTTTATAGTTAATTCCTTAGGGTATAAGAATATAAAAATATTATAATAGTTTAGAATTTTAATTCTTAGATTTTTTAATTATTATAAATGTTTTTAATTCTTAAGAATTAATAAAGTTTTGTAAAAACTTTATTGATTCATAGGCAGTGCAACGGTAGTGAGCATTTCCCTCCTCTAGCCGAGGAACACTTGGACGAAGGCTAGCTTGACTGTGAAATCCTTAACTAAAATTAATTTACTATTTATAGTAAAATTAATTGTTATGGATTGAGCCTCTCAGTGGAAAAGAGGTTACTTTTTATTTTCCCAGCCTAGCCAGCCTTTATATATTGCTGGGCCTAATAAGCTTTGTACAACCCAAGCTGGGGCCCAGGTTCCTTGACTAACTGCTACCTAGTCAGCAACATCTTTAATCCACTGAGTATATTGAGATCTCGGAATCATTATGGTTGCTGGACATGTTGGAGCAAAAGCCTCAACTTCGCCGGTTTGCTGACAATGCAGCAACTGGACAGCCTCAATAATAACAGACGAAACATTAGAAGGAGGAGTAGGCTAAATTGTTGACATTGTTCATTTATGATTTCAAAATAGCGGTTTGAAATGGAGTCGAAGAGGAGAAAAAGGTATAATACAGAAAAGTACTTGTGCAACACACTTAAAAAAGACACTATTCATTCTTTTGAGCCCCACTGAATTGAGTGATCCTAATATATAATCTCATTTGTGTCATCCTCTATCTACCTTTGCTTTTTTAATGAGACCAGCAGTAGTAGATGATGATGACTGATCGTGAGAGCACACCTTTTTTACTGCATAAATTGTCCCTGATCCAGCATCTTATATCCATCCATATCCCAAAAGCCATTATCTATTATCCTTTCCCGTTTTCTAATAGCTTGAGTAGTATGTGTAAAGTGTGTTGTTGCATGCAGTGGATATCCACCTTGGTTATTATATTTTTTAAAGCGTGCATGTCTACACTAAGATAATAAATGTGTGTAAAGTAAAAGGCCTCATAAAATACACTGCACAGCCCATTCTACCTCATTACCTACTTTTATTTTTTACCCATCTTACATCTGCAATCCCTCCATTGAAAACTGCTTGCAATTGGACTGGAGATTTAAATTGGTGTTAAATTCGTTCTTCATTGCTGCTTTTTTTCAGGTACAATTTGAATAATGTTGTTGGGAATTGCTAGGGGTCGCAATTGGATGGGTCGGGTCGGGTCAAGGGTCTGACCTGTCCGTTGACCTACGGGTCAAGAAACCACTGACCCGACCCGACCCGTTCAACCCGATGGGTCAAAACTCTGGTTGACGGGTCACTACTGATTTTGATTTGGTGACAAAGGAGGTGTCAATCAACCTGAGCTTGAGCACTGGAAGTGCAAAACTACATATATACACAGCTCTCTAAGATGATGGCACGCAAATTCCTAGCAGTGCTAGCAATATCTACGTTTTGTGTGATTATTCTTAAAGGTAAAGGGTTTGTGCCATAACAAAAGAAATCGTTTGCGCTCACATGCATTAAAGAAAGCATAATGGTTAAAGTGTGGTTGAAAATCGACTTCCTTTAAATGCCCCTAATCCTTTTCCCTTTTCCCTTTCTTTTCATTTCTTCCTTCTTCTTTCATTTCTCTTTTCTTAATTCCTTCTACGTCTTTTGTCAAATCTCGTCTCTCACTGCCACTCTCTATTGTCTATTCTCATTGCACTATTGCTACTTCTTTACTTTGCTACTTCTTTACTACTATTACATATATTGCTTATAGCTTACTTATCTTACACTTTTGAATATAAAATATGATCCCACAATGAAAAAGAATATAAGTACATTTTATGTTACAGTTCTATAGCAGACATATTGACAACTACATCTTTAATATAATGATCCTTTCCAACAAGAAGATTGACTACTTGAATACAAGTACCTCATAGATATCATATGTATACACGGGTCACAACGGGTCAACGGGTCAGGTCAAGGGTTAGACGGGTTGACCCGCAGGTCAGAAAAGCATCAACCCGACCCGTTGACCCGTCCTCAACCCGTGGGTCGGTTTTGACCCACGGGTCAGATTGCGACCCCTAGGAATTGCTGGTGCGCGATCAAGGAGAAAAAAGAATAAAGACAAGCTAAAAGAAAAATGACCCACTATAACAAATCATGCTCATTTTCTTACCAGCATCACTGTTTCTAACTTTTGACATGGCATTTATGTTCAGATCCTTTGGTAGTCGAGCTTTTTAAAGTTCATTTCGCCTATAAGTAATAAAGAAAAGAAGAAAAAAGTAAATAAGCCTCGTTTTTTTGTCTATCCCTATTTTTCTACTTTTCTTCTTACTCTATATCATTTTCTTAGACTTTTCCTTTGAACACACTATATTAACACGTCACCTTTATGCTCATTAGATTCGTAGACATCGATTTACCATAAGCAAGTTGTAATGGAGTAATTACAAAGAAAATTGACTTTGAAAAAACAAGAAACTAAATAACCTGTTCCCTCTCTCCGCCTCCTGCCTGATTTGGGTTTTCTGTCTGCAAAATTCAAGTTTTGCAGCGGAGGCTACATTACCTCCAACACAACGTTTCAAAATTGACACGTGTGGTGTTTGGAAAAGGACAAAAGGTAGTATATAAAAAGGGAAAAGGTAGAAAGGGTTCAGAAGAATAGGGTTGATATGCGGTAAAATACAAATAGACAGAATTCAGAAAATAAAAAGGAATCAGGGGTATGATGAACGCGAAATACAAATACATAGATACACGATTACAATAACGGCAAGTTCCACTTCCGATGTCAATTGTCAATCCACGAATATATGTCTGAAAACGCTTCATCTTTATTTTATCATGGGGTTAATCCCCTTTTATACACCTTGTCAACTGGGCGCGCTCGGCTGAGAGCGACGCCAGGCACAGAGGACAACGATCTCTATCGGATAGTTTGGACGGAGTAGAAGACGGGAAAATAGGGAAATGGATATAGCAATGTCTATACGACGGATGGAACATAAGAGAGGGAGTACGACGGAAATAAGAGGGGCCATGAAATTACAGGGTCATGGTAACAAGGTGAGGGTAACGAGGAAAAAGGACAATGGAGAATAATATAAACTGCGCAGGGCAGGTAGCATGAGTACGTGAGAGAGTATAATACGGAAAATAAGGACGGATAGAAATATAAGGGACGGGTCCCGTTAAAAGAAGCATAAAGAAGAAATAATATTCGGCGCCTATGGCCGGCACGATTTAGAGTTGAAGGAACGTAAAATGACGCGAGAGGAAATGACAGAATTATTTTCAGAAAAGAGCTAAGGGAAATAAGAAAAATAAAGGGAACTGACAGAAAGGGAAAAAGAAGTATGATAATCCCCGGATGGGGGGTGCGAGAAGAATTGTGGGGAGTTGGGGGGGAACCTGTGGATCGGATGACCATCGCCGGCAGAAAGATCCGCCACCGAAATCGCCCATGATTGGCCGAAGCCAGAATTCGTTCGTCGGAAATGAATGAGGCCGGAAAGCCCCACGCACTTTGTGTCAAAATGTCCAGCTCGCTTAGCTCAGCTGGTTAGAGCGTGGTGCTAATAACGCCAAGGTCAGAGGTTCGATCCCTCTAGTGAGCAGACCCCATTGAAAAATAACATGAGAATTTTTTTGTAATATTGTCGTAGCCAGAAATGGCTGGTAATGCCTTTTACCTTTTTGGTTCTCTTGCCCCGTTTAGTAGAACACTTCTTTAGTCACACAATCCGCAGCTATGACTTCTTCCTCTTGTCGCACAGTTGAGCATTACATCATTACTCAGTAAACACTGCTGCGCAGCTACTCTTTGTCATTGTTATTAACATAGTTGTATATTATATTATTATCCATCATTACCGCAGTAGCTTAGACAAAACATATAAGTATCCCTCCTCATCGCAAACAATAAACAGTATCAATCATCTTCTCTTTATTGTTTTGTTCCCCTTTTGTTCCTCTCTCTTCTCATTGGCTACGGACTGATCCACCAAAAAGTGACACGACAATATTGTTAAGTTGCTTTTTAGCAGGTGAATCTGTAGCCAATGAGAAAGGATAACAACAAAGGGTAATCAGAGGATAGAGAGTTGTTAAAAGATATTTTTTATTGCTAGTAATAGTGTGGTTATTTATAACCTTTTTCTAATAAACTACCTCAGTACTTACCCTATGATACAACTAGGGGTCAGGTTGGGTCAGGGGTCTGACCTGTTGACCTATGGGTCAAGAAAACACTGACATGGCCCGAACCATTCAACCCAACGGGTCAAGACTGATTTTGATATTATAGCATTTTGTGTTTGAAACTATAAAATTTCTAGGGGGTGTAATATAGAGATGAACACTGGTGCGAAATACTGTATTTGATTGGTTGGAGAATAGAAATGATTCGTGATAAACAGACTCTCCCTAGTGAGAAATTAAGGGCGTCTAATAGCTCACTTCCTTTTTTTCCATGGGCGATGGACGCTGTCTAAGAATGCATCAGGCTTATTTTCATAGTATGAATCAATCTTATATTCATCACGACAAAATTTCATTAAACAAGGTCTTACCTCACAGCTAACTTCTTTTCCCCAGTGGCGACGAGGGCATTCAACAACGCCACGCTTGCTTCCCACACCAATGAGCTTTTTCATCCATAACAACAAGACATTCAATGAACAGTGTGACATGTTCTACTAGTACGAGCCAATTTTTAGAGCTTCAAATCTATTTTGTGACAAGGTTTTCTGAATCTACAGTGGATCAATTCCTTCCTCATCTCATTCTTTTTTTTTCGTCAACAGGTAAACTCGCATTGCTGGCCATACCAGCTGTACTGCCATAGTTCAAGCTGAAGACTGAAAATTCTAGCAAGTGCATTTTTGCCACAGGTATCTAGACTCTTAAAGGGCATCATTTTTACTTGAATATAATATTTATTGCACAGAGAAAAAAAAGTTTGGCATAAGTATAACTAGTGTAGAAGGACAGGTGCATAGTGAAAGAGTGGAATGGAAAAAAATAAGTTGACATAGGTACGACTAGTGTGCATGAAGAAAGAAGTGGAAAAGGAGGGCATAAAAAAGGAGTGTAATGGGTACAGAAAAAACATAATAGCATTCCTACTGGATTTGCTCTTTTGCTAAGCAGCGATCGATATACGACTTGGCTTCGCTCACCCAACGAATACATTCTGCAGCTGTGATCGTCTCCGTGGCTTCCTTAATATGGCTTGCCAAGCTATCTTCATTGTCAAAGGGTTCGTCGTATGCGCGATTGGATGGCCTCCCAACATGGACGGCACGGGTCAAGGAACATAGAATTGTTGGGCATGTAAAGTGGGAAATGGCCTGCATTCCGCACCGCGTTCACAAACGGCCTTTCCCGGAACAAGTGTCTGTTTGCCATGACAACACCCATCGAAACTCGCCTTAACTGATGGTTTTGAAAACCTCACTGGTAAACTGGATTAAGTGGTCCGGAGCAGTGCCTTTTGCCTTGCCGACCTTCTCCATCTGTCGCTGCTTCCTTTGAGCTTTAGCCACCATCGCCTCTTGGGAAACGGCCAAACACCCCCTGCAGTGAGGCATAAGAAGATGTTCAAATCGTAGGATTTGGCCTCAACCTTGTTGTGCGTGCTTCACGACAAGGTCTCCACATAACAACCGCTCCTTCGCTGATGAACATGCAGCCTTCGATGTAGTCTAGACTACGGGACATCAGCTCACCGGCAAACTTGCTACGACTTTCCAGAATATCGCTGGTGGCGGTGTAGGGAGGGACTGCTGGTAGTACAAGCGTGAATGCAACTGTTTGCTGGATTTGCTCCTTGACAGTTTTTTGACTAATTTTTAAACCTTTTAAATTTGTAGTATTAGTATGATAAAACGAGTATTCAAGTCATGTTGCATGTTGTAATAAATAGCTCACCTTCTAGTTGCTGGCACAGATCATCCTACGCATCCTTGACCTTTACGACGTTCGCATTTTGGTCAGCTACGCTTTTGACGTAGAGATCCACGATTTGCCTTTGTTCATCGGTGAGGTCGATCTTGCGCAGTCTCTTTATCTGGTTCTTGGCCTTATAACCTGGAGTCAGACTGCTGTCTTCTTTGTGTTGCTTGTACAACTGATGGGTGCGTGAATTACTGATGTTGGTCAATTCAGCTGCTTTTCGCACGGACAGCTTCTTATACTCCACCAAACCGATCATCTTTGCCACCTGATGAGGAGTATACTTGATCAACGTCCACACGTAGTCAGCTGGTGCAATAGGTTTGAACGTTAAATCGTAGTCGTCGCTATTATCACTGCATGAGATGTCGTCAACAGCCATAGTGTTTTAGCCATTGCCATTGGTGCGGTCAATATCAATAGCAATATCTTGTGCATCGTCACCAGAGGTCGAGGTGGTAGCACTGGTTTCGCGCAGATAGGTGTTTTTGCTGACTTCGTAGTAGTAGTAGAAAGTGGTAGAGATCATGTTTAATGAAATGGGATGCTGTTGATAGATTGTCTTAGTAAATCAATAAAATCTACTGCGTTTATATATGTTCTGGAAACGTGTTTGCGTATACATCATGAATATTGTGCTCATATAGTGCATCTATCATTGAGATTTACATATTGGTAGAGTGTCTGTGCTCTACTGTACAGCTTGATACCACGGTTTTATGTCACAAAGTCTACGATTATAGTAAGCACATTATTCCATGCAAAAAAGAATTAAACAAGTTTTGGCATCACAGATATCAAGTGCAGATTTATTAAAAACTAAAATTACGCGGATTGGATAAATGTAAATTTTGAAATCGAACAGAAATAGCTGCATCGCTGTCATGCTCTGGGAAATTTTGTTTTGTTGGTGCCGATATTGCTGCTCAAGCTCCAAAAGGAACCTGTGCCGTCTGTGCCATGTCCAATGCACCGTGGCTGTGGACAGTTTAATGTATTCGGCTATGCTTTTCATTGTGTGCCCAGCCTGATACAAATGTATCATCGTCCCCTTTCTTCCAGAGAGATTACCCTGCGACGGCAGTGTGGAGTACCTAGGGGCGCTTGTTGCCTTTCTGGTAGGCGGCCTGTGTAGTCGAACCTTCGTCGGGCATCCCAATCATCGAGAACACCCGGGTTGTCCCACATATACTCCTCACGCAGCTCTAGGTATCCTTATTAATAAATGCAGTTAATATCACCTGGCTAATTAGAGTAATAACAAAAGTATATGTAGCGCTACAATCATACTCTGCATAGTTGGGTCGTTCAATATGCGTTCCATGATATGTTTACTGGTTACTTGACGGTAGGTAAGGACGAAGATTATGTTGGTGATATATAGCGACAAAGAAATAAGCGTATGGATAATGTAAAACATTTAACGGGCTTGAATGATTAAATTTGCCAGATTTTTATATCGAAATTGCATAAAACACGGCAAGATTTCTTAATGTGAGGTTCCTTAATATATTACGAGCTGACGATGCGACATCAGAAACAGCGCTAACGGACACTCTGTACTACTAATGGGAAGCTTACAAGGGCATTGTCTGTACGACGATACGTGTGGTTGCGCCTCATACTGTGCATAGGAGAGATCGATGATTTCGTCAAAAGGAAATTGGATCGCAGATAGTATAGCAAAAAAAATATAATAGGTATGTAGTTATGTAAAAATGTTATCTGAAATCATATTAAACTGTATGCAGTAAATACTCGTCGCATGGTCGATCCATCTGTTATGATCGATAAAGAAGTTTTCTGGTTATATACGTTCTCCTTGAATGGTGGCTACTGTATTGGCATCAGTCGAATATGAAGTTGGTTTTGTTATCTATGATACAGCAGCGAATGTATTGGAGCACTATCTAATTTTAATATTATTGAGCTTAAAATAGCTATTAGGTCGGAAAGATACATGCAACCATGGTCTTCTGTTATTATAACATGCTGTCAAAACGAATTACAGCAGCAAAGCTCCATGTGGTACTCTGTTGTGTGCTACGAAATAAATCAGGGAACTAGATCGTATAGAAAACTCCATGCAGCCCAAAAAACATTGAGCTAATCTAAAAGGGGCTAAATGAAGTAAGAATAGCTATAGAATGAGCGAGCATAACGTTGAATGAATGAAAAAACACGACGAATGAATAGATATAACGAATAACCATAATAATAGAAGCATACATGATCGATGGAACAAGCATCATAATAGTAGTAAAGCAAACGTTGTAGTAAGCAAATCAAACAAATAAAACGAACGTGGCAAGCAAATCTAACGAATGAAACGAACGTGGAGAGCAAATCTAACAAATGAAACGAACGTGGCAAGCAAATCTAACAAATGAAACGAATGTGGCGAGCAAATCTAACAAATGAAACGAATATGGCAAGCAAATCTAACGAATGATATGAATGTGGCGAGCGAATCTAACGAATTTAATGATCATGGCAAGCAAGCATTACAAAATGTAACATACACAGGGGTCAAACATAGCTAATGAAACGCAATAGTAAAAGGAGAGAATGAAGCTAGCAAATGTAATAAACTGTTTAGCAAATAATTAAAAAGCGAAATGAACAGAACGAATGCGTGATCCAATATATTAAACGAGTGAGCACATATATCAAAACGAATGCAACAGATAGTCTGTACAGATAGTCTTTTTTAGGAAAAGAATGAACTTAACTAACAGATGTATAAACCATTCGTACAGAGCGAATAAATTAATAAAACGAAATCATTGATCCGACAAACATAATGCATAAATGGTGCGCCATGCAAATATTATAACATGCAATTATATGTATACTAGCAGAAAATCTATTATGCAAACGATTCAAATCTCCTTTACAGAAGCAGGACTATCGTTTTGCACAGAGAAATTAACCTAAAAGGGAAACAAAAAAAATGAACAGAACAGAGAGAGAAGAATAATGTAAGGTGCGGACAGGAACAAGACAAGACAAGGACAGAAAGACCGGACGAGAATGTGCTAGGTGCTTTCAGCAAGAACAGGACAAGACAAGAAGGAAACCTGGAGGTAGGAGAGCAGATGATGAGAGAAGATATAAGGAACAAGGTATAGGATGGAAACAAGATATCTGACTGATGTTTTATTATTCAAAGACTATGGTGTTTATATATCTTTTACTATGGAATTTAATAATGCGAATAAACGGAAAGATTGGTATTAGGGTTGATAATTCGGACGATGATGATGGATGATATTGTTACTTGGGGATTTAATAAGTGATCATCGAGGTTGAGGGTGATCACTTAGTAGAGGTCGAGGAATGTTCATAACAAATAATCTTTTTAAATAGATATACATATCGAAATAAATCGCCATATTGGACGTACTGGCATATAAAATTATAGTTCAAATGCATTCTAAGCAAACTACATAATAGCCTACAGTTGCACAGAGCGAACTGGCATAGAAAGAACACATACAAAAAAGGAGAAGTGAACAGTCCACTAGTGACTGACATTTGCCAAAAGAAAGGTATACTGATGACAAGAGGGTAATAAATAGAATCTGCTCAACGAGCATATCGATCATACGTAAATGGTTTTCGAGATGCAATAGCACGCGTGTATCAAATCATGAAAATTGTAAGGTAACAAAAACAGTATGGCATAGACAGTGTATGTAGCAAATCTATCACCCCCTTTTTCATACCATCTGAGCACCCCCTTTGATTGATGATCTGTTTATATTTTATGGCTTCTATCTTAATCTTATTTATTATGATGTACATATCTCTATTATCCATAGTTGTAAAAGTCTTCCAGAAATTTTTAGACTCATATTTAACGACCATGTCTGTGCGCATGTAGCACTTCCAGCACATCGCTGCTTGTGCCACCCATGTATATAATTGTGATCAATACCTATATACTATTTATGATTTTCCCTCTATCAAATACGCTGTTGTATTTTTAGATTGAGTGTGTATGTGCTCTAATAGCACTGTAACAAAATATATTCATCCAATTATTCTCATTGTTACTAGTGGCAACAAATTAAGATAGTGATCATGAAATGATACGAACGTGATTCTATTACTGCAGATGAACTACTACATAGAAGTTCAATTTTGCTGCAAGTGACTGGTAGGTGCATACCATATACACATTACTGGCTTATTTACATGGCCAATGCTATGTTCTTGGCCAAAGTGCCTTGCACTTTTATAGTTGATATATATAGTCTCTCTTTTTCTCATTTGAACATACACAACTCTTCACTTCTATCTATTTTTCTAAACAACTCGTTATCGTTAGTATTAAGGATCACAACATGCAACAAGAACAACCTGCTACCGTCGCTACTGATTCACAGTCTACTATCACCATGTATCACTATCAACCAGATGGTGATTACTACGTGCGTGACGGTCCAGAAACTGAGGCAGATTCATGTGTTCGTACCGTGTACAGGATGACTGTTGTCCCTGAGGATGGTGACGCAGGCGAAGCTGGTAACATGGACATCGATGAAGCACCAACACTCGACGACGATATCATCATGACTTCAGAGCCAGTCAACTATACATGGACGCGTTATAAATATTCTGCACGCCAAGTCGGTCAACTCGTCAATCTCTATATCGACCGAGGTGATCCGGTTCGTACAGCTGCTGCAAAGGCTGGTATTGTACAAGCGTCGGCATACAACATCATAAAGGAAGCAGCAAATGACAGAAAGGTGCTCCCTGGATATCTACCAGCAACCGATGTTGAACGAGGAAACAACAAAAAGCTGAACGGCCTACATTCCGCTTTTATCAAAGTCAAGATTGACCAGTGTCCCACTATAGCTGTGAAGGACGTGCATGAAAAACTATATAGTACTTTTAAAGGTTTGTTAGCAAAATATCAACAGAATGTATAAGTAAACTTGTTGCATAGTCTACATCGCTAAAATTATATTGAAGATCTTACTATTAGTGAAAGTGCTGTATATCGGCATATTACAGAAAAACTCAAATACCCCTTGAAGCGCACTAAAAGAATACCTGCCTACCGTAATTCCACCAGGGGCCTTGACGAGCGAGCTGCCTTTGTTGCTGACCTAAAAACCTAGGGAATCGCTTATAGTACAAATTGTGTCTTCATTGACGAGTGTGGGTTCTCGAAGGCATACGCACGTCCTTCAGCTTGGTCAAAGATAGGCACTCCAGCAGCTGTTACTGTCCCAGCACTGCGATCCATCAACGTCAGTATTATTGGCGCTATGTTGAGCAAAGGCGTTATATTGCTTTCAAGGCATGCACTACCAGAAGAATACAAGCAAACGACACCAGAGTCATCTCGTAAACGGAAAAGAACGG